TATTTTTTATTAAAAAATTAATACTTTTTTTTTATGTTTGCAGGCAAATTTGCCTGCTCTACAGTTTAAGGGATAAAATACGAATAAAAGATAGTTACGTTTAAAACTAATAAATTGGTCACTCTATATTGCACGATCTTTAAAGCCAGTTTGCGACTTTGTCTTAAACACAATAGCATTGTCTCCTAATCTTGCAGTTATAATATATCGACTGCTAACACAAGCTTTAAGCTTCACAATTAAAAGGTTATCACTCCATGCACTTAAACTATTTTCAAAGTTTTCCAAGATAGAAATTGAGATTCCAATATGAAGCCTACTAAACATTCGCACGTTCTTTGAGATAAGTTTTTTTTCAATCTGTCCAGTCTGGAGGTAGCAAACATACACCCAGATGTTATTTTTAGGATAGGTGATATTTTTAATAAGATTGTTAAAACGTTTCTGATTGTTTTTTTCGTATATGAAAATACTAAGTTCCGTCAATGTTAGTACTGAGACGATTTGACAGGTAAACATCTAACTAACGCTGTGGGTAGGACTCTCTATTTCTTTAAAAAGGGAGATATCACTGGTTATTCACTGACATTTAACAAAAATACAGTATCCACAGCTATCAAGAACGACTTGCCTCAATTTGTTGAACAATGAATCTTTACTAAGAAAATTCAAATAATCATGTGATTTAATGTAACTTTTATAGAGAGGATCCAATACTTTTCGCAAGGATGGAATCCAAAGTGGTTGAATGTCTTTGAGATTGCATGTTCCAGTTGAATTAATGTAATATCTGTTGCCATACTGGCGGATGTCATCGATGGAACTGAAGTAATCCTTTTTGGTTATGGTTAGAATATTCCTCAGCTCAAAGGTTACCTCAAATTTGTGAATAAATCAAATCCATGAGATGTATATATTCTACATTCAAAGATCGAAATATTTTATAAGCAACAGACTTTCAAAAGCTAATTAGTAAAGAATAACTTACCTCGTAAGGGGCAACAGATGATATGATAAGCTTAGCAGACCTGAAGCGTTTCTTCTAAAATGAAATCGCCTCAGGATTATCTCTTGAAAATCCTTCAAAAAAAAAGGTTCAGTGAAAGTGTAGAAATCTCATCTGGAAAAATTACTTAAGAGATTACTTCTTCGTATTCAATTAATTTCGTATTTTGCCATTTGAAAAAGTGTTTTATCGAAGTGGTACTATAGGATCTAAACTACTAAGCACGTACTTTATAGCATAATAAAGTGCCACCTGAGATAATGAGAAAACTATAACTAAGAGCATTCAGTAGTAATTTACCATCTAGAACATATTTTTTCACATTTAGTGAAGGTATTTCGACTTTACTATGATCAACTAAATGAAATATGATTCAATTATTATAAAACAGGTTTTCCAAAAATTCATGCATGATCCCATCATAGATCAATTTAAAAAAAAATTTTTTGATTTGACTCAATATCGTTTTATCCTTGTTTGAATCTTTATTCGTTCCTCCCCTTTTAACACCTTTTTCATTCTATATCTTCTTTTTTGAATTTCTTTCTTCTTTTCTTTCGTTCATTCTTTCCTTCTCACCTTTTTTTATTTCTCCCTTATTTTTTTCACTTTTCCTTCTTATTATCTCCGTTTTTGAATTTCTTTTTCTTTCTTTTCGTTCGTTCTCTCCCCTCCTACCTTTTTCATTTTTATCATTCTTTTTTATTAAGGAAAAAAATTTTTTTAAAATAATTAATGTTCACTGGGTTTGGAAAAATGAACATCTTTATATGGATCGTTCACATGTTTACGAATATTAGAATATAAATATTGTTTTCTTTCTTTTGTTAACGGTGAAATAGGAATTATATCTATATCGCAATTTTTATCAAAACTACTATCCCGTAGTAGAATAAAAGGAGTTTCTGATCCTTCAGATTCCTTTGAAGCATACACTTTACCGATATCACCAGGCAAACTACTAAAATGAAAATAATGGTATTTTTTTATATTGGGAAGAGGAATAAAATAGTTTTTAAAAAAACTTTTGAAATTATACCAAATCCATCCATTTTTATAACAAATTGCTTCATTTCTTTTAGATGAGCAATTTACAACTCTTTCTATATCATTAATTGTATTAATTCTTGTGTCTCTATATATATTTTTAATATGTCCAAAGAATGAATCACAAATAAATTTTGTATGGCCTGAAATCATAAAATTTATAATAATGTCTTCATACCATCCTAACATAACTAACCATGTCCAAAACCATAAAGAAAGATTATTTTTATTTTGTCCTAAACAATTGTCACAAGTGATTCTTAAATGTTTTTTTCCTATACGTGCAGATTTTTGAAGTGCACTATAAACCATATTTAAAGTAGTATTAGCTCCTTTGGCTGTGCCTTTAGGAAATTCATCTTCTGCAATTAAAAAATTCAACTGATAATTTTGATCACCTTCAGTTTTGCATATACCAAATAAATGAACAGAAAAAGTATTTTTAAAATAAATGGTTCCTACTTGCTGTGAGAAATATGGAACTGATACATTTTGAGCCCAATCATAACAAATATGTGCTATTAACTTATTATTTTTACTTTCATTAATATTTTTATTATAGTGTTCACGTTCAAGATTTGCTACTTTAATATGTAATTCATATTGATTTTTAATTTTATTATATTCATCAATATCATGTTTTACAATTTTTAACTCTGCTTTTAAAATTTCACAAG